GGGATTCCTCGGGACTCTTCCCAGTTCAGGGAAGTGCTGTGGGAGTTGCTGGGGTGGGGGGAGGCGAGAGGCTTTTGCCCGTATCTGAACATATTTGTATATAATTGTATATATTTTCTTGTATCATTCATTAGTGTTTTAATTAAAGCTGTGTAGTTTAGTTTTCAATCCAGCCAAGTCTCTCTCTTTTTCTCTCTCTCCTTCCCTACCTGGGTGGGGGGGGGAGGGGATCGAGAGCATTGTTGTCGGACCTGAGTCAAACTGTGACAGGTGGATGTCAAGAGTGGGACAGTCTCTTTTCAGTGGTGCCCTGTGATAGGATAAGGGGAAATGGCACCAAGTTACAACACAGGAAGTTCCGCCTCAACATGAAAAAATACTTCTTTACTGTGAGGGTGAGGAGCACTGGAAGAGGCTGCCCAGAGAGGTTGTAGAGTCTCCTTCTCTGGAGACTTTTAAGATCCATCTGGACATGTTCCTGTGTGAGCTGCCCTAAATGTTCCTGCTGCAGCAGGGAGGTTGGACTCGATGATCTTCAGAGGTCCCTCTGGGAAGAGGAAGACAGCAGACAAAAAAGTGTTTGTAGCCAGTGCATGCCATGCAAACTTTATTTCAAATTGTTCTTTAACAGATAGAAAACTTGAGAGAAACTTGTATCCAGGGTTCCAAAGATAGTTCATCATTAATGGGATGGGATCCATGTTATTAGACAACACAGGACCACATGCCACAGGAGTTATGAGGGGGACTGATCAGGGCAGGGAAAAAAGCACAGGGATGGGACTGAGGCTGTTCCACAGAAAACCAACATAAGCAGCATGACCACATTTTTCAAGAGATATAAAATGCACATTATCCACAACTAAAATGCATGCTTTCCTAACCTTACTTTTATTGCTTCTTTGTAAGCAAGAACCAGCTGGAAGAGGATCACCAGAAACAGTGTCACCTTCCCATAGCATCTGTGTAATACACTGTCACGATCCGGTATTCGGGTACGTGGCAATTTTAATAAATAAAGGTGATCCCAAATGGTGAAATTAAGACACAAACGAGGTCAGATGTCACGCACACAACAAACTTTTATTGCAATAACACAACAAAAGTCCCCAGAGCGGATAGGAAAGAGAGGAGAAAGCAGAGAGATAGAGGAAAGCAAGCGAGAGCATAGTTACCACCCACGGTCCAGCGATGTCCTCGATGTCGTTGGTGGGGAAGTAGTTCCAGCTGGAGAAGTGCTTCCATGCACCCACAGAGTCCCAGATTTTTATACAGACCTTGCCCACTGCACCCCCACTTCTCTCCCTGCATAGGGAAAAACCCTTGGGATCTTCTCTGTGATAGCAGGGGCAGGTATGATGCCAGGGGCTATGTAGTCTTTGTTTGGCTAATTGATGAGATCAGCCATTACAGAGGAGGTTGAGTCAATTGCCACCACGGGATTAGTTTGTTGCGGTGGAGTTTCTGTCCTAGGAAGTAGCTTGAGACTGGCACTCCTTGTCTTGTCCTGCTAAGTCGCATCAGCAGATGTCCTTCAACTCTCAGATGCCACAAGACAGACAAAAGACATCCTGAATGCCACATGTGCCATAATCAAAGCAGCCAAGCAGCTAAAGCCTTTTTGGTATAGACGACCATGGCTGAAAGATCAATACGTGGAAGCCTGCCAGATTGATTATATCACACTGTTACCATTTGATGTTCACTCCCAAAATACATACAAATAGACTGCGTTTAGGAAGAAGGAGACATCGTTTACTGCTGGTTTGTGCAAAGCTGTGTGTTTGTGGAGAACAGCCATGGGAAAAGAAGTAGACAAAACAATATGTAGACCAGGTAAGGGGCAGGCCTTGCTGTGAGCAGCACTGTGAATGTTGACAAAAATCAGAACACTGTTTATCGTGTGTTCAGTGTGTGATTGGCTACATCCTGGGAGCCCAAGGACTGTGTATGTGCCAAGGAGGAGGTGTGAGTGCTGTTTACACTCTCTGTACCCTGGTTGCTTATTCTCAGTTCCCACTGTAAAAGTATATAAGGGAGCATTTTCTCATAATAAACTTTCATGGCTTCTCACCCTGGAGTCCGTGTCTTCACCACCACAAATAGCGCCCGAACTGGGTTTTTGCATTTGAAAGAGGCAATCGTCAGGATTAGTGCTGGAGAAAGGTTTTACAATTCCGGTGGTGGCTCCGCGACTGAACTTCCTGGAAAGGAGAGCGCGCTCACTACAAATTTACTTTCATTACCTTTCGTTGAACGGATAGGTAAGCAATCGCGGTAACATGGGGCAACCAGTCTCCAAGGAACATAAGTTGTGTGCTGAGGTTTTGCAAGAAATGTTAAAAGAACAAGGTTTTGCAGTGTCTTCATTGAAATTAGTTAAATTGTTAGTGTGGATTAGGAAAAATTGTACTTGTTTTTCTACTGCTGGCGCTTATGACAGTGCTGTCTGGGCTAGAGGTGGAAAGAGTTAAAAATTCGGGAAGACCTTCAATTCCCGGTTTTAGATGCGCTGTTAATCACCTGGAAAGCCATGTATACTGCTCTGAAAACGTTGCAGCCCGCTAAGGATCTGTTGCACCTCCGCCTTCTCGGGCTGATGAGGAAAAGGGCTCATGTGGGATTTTATGTAACAGTGTTAGAAAACGTAAGGATGCTTTCGGCCCCGGATCTGTTGATCCGGAGGGCAAGTCGGATCTATACCCCTCCACACACCCCCCGTTCTCCCCCTCTCCCTTCCTCTGATCCCCATGCGGTTTTTACGGATGCAGCTCCCGCTGCTCGAAACCTTCCAGAATTACAAAGACGTAAATCAATGAGGGGTCAGTGTTGTTTGGAGAACGCGGTAGTTCCTTCTGCACCGCCCTATGAAACAGTTGAGAAAACTGAGGGACCTCTCATTGATTTGGAAACTCAGATAAATGAACCTAAGGCGTTTCCAATTAGCAGTCAGATGTTTGATCAGTGTCGTCGGGATGCTTTAAAGAATGGTTCGGGAATCGGCGAGAATGAACTGTTAGGACAGAACGCGAAAGCTTCCCCCCAGACTCAAGCGGAGATGCCACGAGCAGCGTTTCAGCAGGCTGCGGACCTGGCGTTAAAAGCTTTACGTAAAGTACCCGAAGCAGGGCGGCGAAAATCGTCTTTTGCCGCTATTAGACAGGGGCCGCAGGAGCCCCGTTTCTTTTATAGATCGGCTTCAAACAGCTATTTCAGGGAAGGTAAACAGTGAGACGGCCCTTGTGTTGTTTCAGCTGGCCGTTGAAAATGCAAATGCAAATGCAGACTCTCAGAGGGCAATTACCCCGATTAGGCACTCTGTTAAGTCAATAGCTGTGACGTGCTGAATAACGAGTTCACAACCTATAAGGTGATAAAGCAGGTATGTTTATTTAGCGCTGAGTACACAGGAGATCGCTTCTCCACAAATGTGTACGCCTCAGGATCGCGACCGAGCTGATTATATGCTACAAAATGATTAATTAATTACATGCTATTACATGTGCATTAAGTTTCCGATAATAGGAAGGGGTTATTACAATTAGTTCTGGGGGATCATTGTCATAGCTGCTGCCCCGAGCTCCTCCTTGTTGCGTCTGCGCAGTGCCTCTTGGTGGTCTTGGGCAGGGGTCTCTGAGATGAAGGCCGTATGTCT